CACAGTGGAGATTCATAGTTCTTCTGCAGCCAGATGCGCCAAACTATCTAGCTATACTGGCTCCCTTGCCAGAACGGGTCTACCAATCTTCTGCTAGCACTCTGGGATTAAGCAGCTTGCTCAAGAATTCAAGACCGAGTCATCCCAAAATATACTGCATTGAAACAGTGTCAGTTTATAACAACACACTGATGTTGGAAAATCCATCGCTCTCAATCCACAGCTACTGCTCAGAGAGGAAAGGGAAACCTGAGGTGGGGGTCTTAAAGTGCTAGCTATGTTAGTCTGAACAAGCATATCAACAATAAACCCAAAACTTAACTAAAACATAAAGAAGACAAAAATGTTGTAGCACCTAAAAGACCAACTGCTATATCTTAATCCAGACCTGGGCAAAGTGTGGCCCGAGGGCTACATACGGCCTGCGATCCGCTCTTGTCCGCCCCCCGCCCGACAGTTCTGAACATCAAAACCATTTATAACATTTTGTCTAAAGTTGATCAGTTGCTTATCCTTAATTTACTGCAAAAAACCTCTTTAGTATTTGTGAAAATTAACAAGTTTAAAATAAAAACAATCATAACATCACTGTTTCATTTTATTTTTAAGTAAACTTGGTTCAGCCCCCAAACACAGTTCAGATTTTTTATGTGGCCCCCCTATAGAAATTAATTGCCCACCCCCTACATGAACTGCGCTTTCGTGGAATAAGTCCACTCCTTCAGACATAAGAGTGAGAATACAGAGACTACATGAAAGAGCTGGATGAAAGACATAATCACTCCTGCTAATCAAGAAGTCCTGATACTTCGATCTTGGCTCCATTGCCACAGCACTTGCAATTACTCTGATTCCTTTCTGAAAACAGGGTATTTGCCATTATAACAGAGTACTATATAGTAATGATGCACTCCTTATAACAAATACAGCTGAAATTCAGTTAACAGGTATAGTGGTGCCTCGCTTGACGATGTTAATCCGTTCCAGCAAAATCGACGTAGAGAGAAATCATTGTCAAGCGAAATAAAAAATCAATTGAAACACATTAAAAACCGGTTAATGCGTTCCGATGAGTGAAATACTAATCGTCCAGCAAAGATCCTCCATAGGGCGGCCATTTTCCGGTGCCTCTACAGCGAAAAATCAGTCCTAAAAACAGTGGGGGGCCATTTTGCACAGCGGGCGACCATTTTGAAACCCGCCAATCAGCTGTTTGAAAATCGTAAAGTGAAAAATTGGTTCCCGAAGCAGGGAACCGATCGTCGCTAAGCGAAAAAACCCCATTCAAACATCGTTTTGCGATTGCAAAAGCAATCACAAAAACATCGTCGTGAAGCAGATTAGCTGTTAAATGGGGTAATAATTAAGCGGGGCAATACTGTATATCTTATATTACTTCTGAGTAGGTCCAATTTTCACTTATTCAGTAAAAACTAGGTATTTTTGGTACACAAAGCAAGCCAAAGGCATAATAAGCAAACATGAAAGCAGGGACAAATTTCATTTTCCTGCCCTCCAAAAACTGGAAAATAAGTCTCATCAACATAACCCCAAGATTATCTACTTCCAGGGCCTAACCTGACCTAAAGTTAATAAAGCTTTGACAAATATGGGCAAAATATCATCCTTCTAATTACAGATGGGGGCACTTGTATTCGTATACGTGAACTTAACCATCCACTCACATGTCCAACGGCGTCAGCAGCCTCGCTCATCCTTCCAATCACACATGGAGTGCCGCTCTCTTCCTGCTTAGCTAGCCACTACAGGCAGGGGGAAGGAGGACAAGTCTCCCTGCATGGTTGCCGAGTGGCCAGCCGAGCGGGAAGAAGGTGGTGCTCTGGGAGTGATTGGGAGGATGAGCAAGGCTGCCGCCACCACCAGATGCGTAAGTGGACAGTCCAGCCCCATGGGCCAGACCCTCGTGAAGTCCAGCTGCGCTGGGATATTCGTATTCATATACAAATACTCCCATATCTACTTCCAATATATCCCCCAGTCAGCCTGCCACCTCATATCCAGCAGGCAAGGTTCTCAGACATGCAAAGGCACTCAAGCTTTTTCTTTAAACCTTAGACCTCCATATGTTCTGATTTATTTAAAATACTTTTATCCCACCGTGGCTTACATCATTAAAAGACAATACTTTAAACTAATATACAAATACTAAAAAGGATCAAACAAATACCAATCTAATAAATGGTAAACAAAAGCAATAACAGAAACACATTCAAAGCAGCAAGGCACAACAATCCATTTAGAAACTCCATTCAGGCAGCCATTCACTGAGTGAAAGATTGCCTGAAGAAAAAGGTTATTGCCTGCTTGCAGAAGGACAGGAAAGATGAGGCCAGCCTGGCTTCCAGTGGGAGGGAGTTCCAAAGTCTGGGAGCAGCAACAGAGAAGGTCCCTCTCCCATGTCCCACCAAATCTACCTGTGAAGGTGGTGGGACAAAGAGAAAGACTTCTCCTGATGATCTTAGCACCACAGCAGGCTCATAATGAGCTACGTGGTCCTTGAAATAGCTTGGACCCAAGCTATTTAGGGCTTTATAGGTTCCTTGGACTACAGTTCCCAGAAATCCTGGCCGGCACAGCTAGTGGTGACAGCTTCTGGAAGTTTTAGTCCAAGAACATCTGGGAACCCAAGGTGCTTTAAAGGTTAAACTGGCCATCTATCTCTCAGACTTCTTTGCCAGACCATCATGTCCAGTTTATTTTATGTATTTATTTATTGTAGTTTTACCCCGCCTATCTGGTCAGATGACCACTCTAGGCGGCTTCCAGCATGCATAACATACATGACAATATAAAAATATATAGAAATATAAAATATAGCATCAATAGACAAATACTTCAAGATGGAGAAAAGAAAAGAAAAGGGGAAATAAAAAGAAATCAAGTGTTCACTGGAAGGAAGGCTTGTATAAACATCCAAGTTTTTAATATTACTGTATATCAAAAGTTGGTGTAGGTTAGAATCCACTTTGTCAGATACATGAAGCATGACTTTCAGGTGACAGCATAAGCCAGAGCAGGAGAACCTTCTTCAAATCTGAAGCTAAGAGCCAGCTGTTGGGTCCAAGAGTATTTCCTTGTAGACAGGTGTGTGTAGGAACATACACAGTAGCAAAGGTACAGGCCAGAGCAGAACCTTCTTCAAATCTGTAGACAGGTGTATGTAGGAACATACACAGTAGCAAAGGTACAGGTAAATGGGATATAAATATGCAAATAAACAAATTATACATAGTTTAATTAAATAACCATATTATGTCAAAAGTACAGCCTGAAGTAATACCTCTCAAAATATTTAAGATGCCACAGTGAAAGATGGGGCAGATTCACTATGAAACTAACATAGTTTACGCTTCAGAGCCCTTAATCCCAGCAGTTCCCCAGAATAGAGATGTAGCATTTTTGGAAATGCTGAAGCCATATAAAATGGCTTTGGAAAAAAACAGGGGGTGGGACTGTTTTTCTCCAATTTTTCCAGTTTTTTTTCCCCAGGCCTTCCCATCTCTAGGCAAGATGCAGTCCCAACCAGATATGTAACATTTCCAGAAATTCTGAAACCATATAAATTGGTTTTGGAAAAAAACTGGGGGGAAAAACAAGTTTTTTTTCTGTTTGTTTGTTTTTCACAGCCATTTCATAGGGCTTAAAACTTTCCAGAAATTCTGCATCGCTACTCCAGAAGCAGCTTTAGTCCACTTTTTTTTTTAATTAGTGGTGATCTCTGGTGGAACAACCTGATTGAAGAAGGTAACAATGGCTACCCAAACCTTGTTGCTGGTTGCAATGAGGCCGCCATAAAAGTTCAAGCTTCAGGACCCCACAAATATAGGTCTGCCACTACTGAAAGAGCGTCGTGAAATAAATATCTCATCTCTGTGATGCAAAGGCTCAGGGTGACTTCTAGTAAGGGGCATGACCTCGATACTTGACAGAACGCCTGCTTCCACCTAGATCTACTCGGATCACCCGCACGAGCCAGGAGGTGAGGCTGAGGAGCCTAACAACGAGAGAGGCCCGGAAAGAAAGGACACGAAACCGGGCCTTCTCGGCGGTGGCTCCTCGCCTCTGGAACAATCTCCCTCCTGAGATCCGCGCCGCCCCCACTTTGGACACTTTTAAAAGTCAATTAAAAACATGGCTATACATTCAGGCCTTCCCAACAGTTAGTATCTGACTTTTCTGTTTGTTCTCTCCTTATGTATTTTCTATTCTATTGTTGTATTCTGTTTATTACAATATGATTTATGTAATTGTTTGTATTTTTTGTATTATTTCACTGTTTTTACTATACTGGAAGCCGCCTAGAGTGGTCTTTTAGACCAGATGGGCGTGGTATAAATCAAATAAATAAATGAATAAATGAATAAATAAATAAATAAATAAATACCCTCTAAAGAAATTATTTATTTATCTGATTTGATTGAAAGCATTTTTATCCCATCTTTCTCCTTAAAAAGAACCCAAAGCAGCTTACATCATTAATTAACCTCTCATTATTTTGTGGGGTGTGTCTGTGTGGATGCGATAGCCCAGGGACAGCAAAACCAACAACATGTCTTGTGACACCCTGAAGTCTAACCCGTTTGACTAAAGATTTGGTGAACAGCAGCTGAGTTCCTCAAAGAGCAGGGGATGACAAGGCAGCGGGGGCTGCAGACGACAAAGACGTTACCTCAAATAAAATTCGTTACTCGTTACCGGGCTACGAGACTCTTTTACTCACCAGGGCTAGAAAGAGTGACTCTTTCGACTTGCCACACTCAGGATCCCACCCCACCCACACAGCTAGCATGGCCCGCGGGTTCTGGGATTCAAAATTTTTAAAAAGTGTGTATGGGGGGGAGAGAAAGTACAGTAACTTTTCTCATCTCTGGCTTTCACCCCCGAGCACCGGATATTCCTCATTCTCTTCCCCCTTCGCAGCCCTGCCCCACTCTGGGAGGGTTCCCTCCCCCCCCCCAAAAAAAAGCAGTGCAACTTACAGCGTGTGGCCGCAGACGTTGACCATCAGCTTGAGGGAGGGGTTCCGGTACTTGGTGGTCTTGCACCGGGGGCAGCCCTGGTCGTCCATGACAACCGCCTCGCTCCTACTGGCGCCGGATGCGCCCGCAAGACGACGAAGTCCGACTCCCCCCCCCCAAAACTCGCCTCCGCCGGAGCGGCGTCCGTCCGCGAACCACCTCCGGCTGGAACTCGAGCTCCGGAACCAACGTTCCGCTTCGAAAAGGCGGGAGAAGCTCCNCCCCCCCCTCCCCACCTCCACACACACTCCGAACAATCTCTCGCCTGTGGCAGAGAAATAGATGACTTTTTTTGAGTGAACCTGAGGAAAAAAGGGATGGGGAAGAGGATTAGGGGGACAATAGAGGGTCTTGGGGAAAAATTCCAAGGATTAATGATGTCAGAGGCTGCTTAAAGACCAATATGGGGCGCAATCCTGGCGTCGTCCCCCCCACACCGGTCTTTTCGGACTGTATGGTTGTTCTGCCCAGTTCAAGTCGCCTCCGACTTCTGGCGAGCCTAGAAATGAGTGACCTTCACAACGGTCCCCCCCACACCGGTCTTTTCGGACTGTGTGGTTGTTCTCCCCGGTTCAAGTCGCCTCCGACTTCTGCCGAGCCTAGAAATGAGTGACCTTCACAACGGGCTGTCAACAGGCCTGCTCAGCAATTGCAAACTTAAAACCCTGTGGATCCCGCCTGAATAAGGTTTTGAGATGGTCAAGGAGTGGGTTCACCCTAAACAGCTCGTTCCACACCGGTCTTTTCGGACTGTGTGGTTGTTCTCCCCGGTTCAAGTCGCCTCCGACTTCTGCCGAGCCTAGAAATGAGTGACCTTCACAACGGGCTGTCAACAGGCCTGCTCAGCAATTGCAAACTTAAAACCCTGTGGATCCCGCCTGAATAAGGTTTTGAGATGGTCAAGGAGTGGGTTCACCCTAAACAGCTCGTTCCGTGGGTTTTCATGGAATTTGAACCCAGAGCTCCTTACGCCTAGGACGCTGTGTGTATATTATACTACGGTGGCTCTATACACGTTTACTCGAAAGTAAATTCCATGGTGTCTATCAGTTTTGTTCCTTAGTAGGTATGCTTAAGCTTAGAGCCTCAAAAGCTATGAGAGGAACGGTTGTAAGTTTAGTTTTAGTAGTTTTTAAAAAAAAATCCTTGCCCCGATGGGCTTGCAATTTAACATGAGGAATAGGATCCTGGAAAGACCGCTGAGGAGTTAACAAACCCTATACCAGTCCGTGATATGGCCCAATCGTGCGTGTTTACTTCGAAGTAACCCTCATTGCCTTTATTGGGGCTTATTCCAAAGTTAGTTGCGCATAGGATCGCACCTTTGTAGCGCGTTCCTGCTGTTAACTAGCCCCAACCATACTGCGTTCATGGGCATATTTGTTTAGGAGAAGATTGATTTAGGAATTCATACCTACCTGAGTTCATATTAATGAGATAACGCTCTTTATAGCTGCAGTTCGATTGCGTGCGCATTGGTTCTGAAATAAAATCAACTGGATCGAGCCCACTATACGACCAAAGGGGCACACGGTGGACGGCAGCCTCTCTCGTTTCCCATTTTCGTCGGAATCACGGAGCAAAATAAGACAGATCCATATAACTTGTGCTTTGAAGGCTGGAATCTCATGCACAGTTGGGCACGTTTAAGCCCCGTAAATCAACTGATCCAGGTGCGCGCCCAAGTCTATATGGGATGGGGCACCATATCGATGTACTAAGTCGAGAGTAAACTCCGTTAATTGGCCCCTCGGGATCTTACTTCCAAGTAAACATGCCCAGATGCAGCACCTGCCTGAGCTTAGGTAAACTCAAACTGATGTAGCTGAGCCTTTACTTCAGAACAATCGTGCCTAGCATTAAACTGCAAGGCTCAACCCTAAGCAAATGTGTTTAGGAAAACTTACTTCTCAGTATATATTTATCAGTGCAGTTAATATTGGTTGTAGGAGCAAAGACGGTGGTTGTGCTTTAAGGTTTGCCTAGGAAAATGTATTGATAAAGTAGCAGATCAATAATTAATACAGTGTATGCGCCACGGTTATGGCTGCAATCCTATCGTTTATGTACAGCCTGGTGAAGCTGGTCCTACAGTCCAAGCTTACATGCGCTTTTACTCGGAGGTAAATCATCTAGCCCTTTTTCATGGCACTACTGTAACTCACAAGGATACAAAGAACGGCAACGGCTTTCCCCTCTGTCAGGCGGCAATCTTTCCCAGAACGCTTTCTGAGCAACGTATCTCAGAATCCCCTTATTAGGCAACATGACCGGAGGATGTTCTGCCTGGAGATTCCGGGAACTCCAATCTAAAAAAGTTTTTTAAACATTCAAGATCTGAGGATCCCAAAGGTTGGAACTGGGGTGCAAAGAGGTGTTATCCCACCGATTAGCTGTCCTTACTCCAGAGTAACTGTTACTTGACAGGCGGAGCTATGTTTCTTTGGTCTCCACCACTAACTCGCTTCCGATTGATGGCAATTACATGAATGGGTGACCTCCAAAACGCCCAGTCATTAACAGCCTGGCCCAGCTCTTTTAAACTCAAGGCCGTGGCTTCCTTTACCGAGTCAATCCATCTCATTCTTGATCTTCCTCTTTTCCTGCTTTCTTCAACTTTTGCTAGCATTACTGTGGAGCCTAGAGGTGTTTAGTGGGGACGGAAGTCTCCGTGAATTAAAGTCGCACGGAACATGCCTTGCAGCTAGTGAGTGGGAAGGAATGTTGTTTGAATCGGGGGGCCAAATTAATCCCTTTCTGGTCCATAGGCAGCAGAACTGTTTTCAAGACAGTTAGGTGGCAGCGCCTAGATTTTAACATATTGTAATTAAATGAATAAAAATCGCATCGTGGAAATAAACGTTTAGACAAAACCGGTGGTATATTGTTACATTCACTGAGCAGAAATTTTGAAATTGTGTAGAAAGACCTCTTCAGACAATCTCCTAGTAAATCTTAAATCCGAATATTTCTGTTAAAGTGACTTATAGATCGTACACCAAGCATGTCATGTATTTAAGGACAGTTATGGTTTATTAATAATGACATCTTTGGTAGCTGATTTCAGTTCGAAGTCTCCTATCGAGTTATGAGGTCTGTCAGTCAACTCTTAAGCATATGTCCTTCGGATGAGCCCTACTAATTTCGGTGGAGGCTTACTCCCAAGCAAATCTGTTTAGGATTGAAACTTGTGAAAGTGCATTGATTGACTGTGTCACTTCGGTCGACGTGAGAAGTATAATTGCCATCCGTTTTATGATTTCCGGAACAGCAACGAATAGTACTAAGAAGAAAAAGATGAACTCGGAGTTAATGACCTTAGAGTGAGATCTATGGATCAGTCGGTGATACCTGGAAGTCCAGTTTAAAACTTTGCGTAAGGACTTTGTGGATCGCATCCCTCCGGTAAAGACCTGCAACGCCCGAAGTCATTTCTGAGTGGTAGGCAAACATGTCTAGGAAGAAGGTGAATGGGTGACTTCTATTTGGCTTTTAAATGTGAATAGAGCCATGCAGTCTACAAGGTTTTCTGGAAAGTCAAGCTCTGTGAAATTGTAAGGGACTAATTTCCAAAATAATTTGGGTAAGTTTATTTTTCCTGGTATAATAGCTCCCATAATCCACCAAGCCAAATGGCAGGAAAGAAATATGGGCGTTGAAGTCCACGAAAATAACCCGTCCACGAGCTTCTCCAAGTAAATATACAGTATTAACATATGAAGTTACAGAGCTAATAGCTTCCTGTTTCCGAAATTCTGAGAAATTGGTGTATGTGGTTCACTGAACGAGAACTTAGGAGACCTGGTTCAGAAGCGGGACTAAACCGTGATGGGGCTGGTGTCGGAAAGAAACGGTGTTCTATGACTTTGGAAGGAAGATAATGAGGAAGATATCCAAAACCAGATTTTAAAACACACAGACCACCATCATGTCTTTTGTGCTCTCTTATTATTTCAGTGTCAAGAACCTCTTGTCTACCGATTGCATCTCCTCCATGTCTGCTTCGAATAAATTCCACTCGTATTTACTCCCAGGTAAACAGACATATATCTGCTACTTTGCATTTTTGTAACCTGCCTGCTTTCTTTCACGAACGTGCAACCTCAGGCACCCTTTTGTTTCTGGAACAAAGCCTAGATCCAGCAGTTAGTCTTACACAGAGTAGAGTTGATGAACGGTAAGGCAACAGTTATGCCCATCCCATTGATTCAATAGGTCGACTCCAGCTGGAGCTAAGGAAGTAGATTTAAACTGGTGGGCTTTAACTTCTGAACAGGACGTGAAAGCCAGAATCTCCTTCAGTACAATAGGATGTTAAGCTCCACTCAGATTTATGAGAACGGGCTGTGCTAGTTTACCGCCTGCTCCCTAACCATCCTTACTCAGAAGTAAATCCATAGGGTTGTGGTCTGGCTGGGTTCAAAGCACTCCTACGTAAGCACTCTTAGGATTGCAACTTTCACGACACAATCCGAGCCCAGAATCCACAAAAAGGAGGGGCAAATAGTAGAGAGAATTCAAACATATACAACATAAGGTTTTTATGCGAATCACCCTTATCCAAACCTGAACGACGGAAACTAGCTACTGTCCAGTGTTTAACCAGACAAGTCAGATTTCTCGTGATTGTAACAAGCATTTATTATCCATTTGTTATTTTATCAGTTTCTTTTTTTTTCTGCCTTGAAGTTCCAAAGTGACCTGTTTTTATTTAGCAACGATGCACTTTCTATTTATAAAACGCTATTTAAACCTTTTGCTTTTGTAAATTAAAACTTGCTAAGATGCTGCAGCGCGCTATTTAAACCTTTTGCTTTCGTAAATTAAAACTTGCTAAGATGCTGCAGCTAAAAAATTGGATCCAACAAAAGTTAAGCATTTTCTCTGTGCAACCTGTAGTGTGTGTCTACTCAGAGGCAAGCTCAGTTTATTGAGCTGAAACGAACTGTCAGCTGCAATCCTCTGCAGCCTTACCTGGGTGTATTTCCCATGGAACTGTTAGCTTTTCTTCTGAATGCATACATATGCACAGCATTGCAATTTTAGCCTACAATCCTTCAACTGTGAGATGAAAATGCCCCCACTGAGTCCACACTTGGCCGTATCCAACTGTGAGATGAAAATGCCCCCACTGAGTTCTGTAAGGCATAGGATCGCAGCAGTGCTTCTGAATAAAGTTGCAGTCTTCTGCAAAACTGGCCTGGAAGGGCGTATGACCAAATTCAGGAGGACCTACTTCTGAGTAAAATATATGACATCATCTGGCTGCATGTCATCCACAGTCGGAGATACAGAATGGCGTGCCCTGCTCAGCATGGTCTCAGTTTCCATCCGTAAAATGGGTACAATTGCCCCAGACTATTATGAAACCTGAACTTGCGCTTTGCACATTCAGGCTGGAATTCAGTAACATGGAGCACAATTCCAGGAGGGGTTACTCAGGAGTAAATGTCACCGTGTTCAGGGGAACTTGCTTCTTCACCCTATACTACTTAAAATAGAACTGTGCACCTGGAATTGAAATGAGTCCATCATCTTCCTCACCCGGCCCTCCCACTCTTGCCTGTACTGTATTTGCAGCAACGTCTCACTGCAAACTCTTTGGGGCAAAACCTTTTTGTTCATAAAGTGTCATAGATAGTAATGTGGGCGTCTATGCAAACCCTATCCGTTTAATCACAGGTAGGTCTCCTTGAGTCAGTGGCACTCTTCTGCCCATAAGTGCAACCTAAAACTGCAATACAATCATACTAGTCTGGGAAACAGGATTTGGAGTAAACATGAACAGGATTAGACTTCTGATCTGGATACACTCCCTTTAACCGGAAAGGAACCCCGTTGAACTCCCTATAATTTGCTTCCCAAATCAGCACGCGGTGACTTTCATCACACTTCTGCAGGACTTCAGGATTTATGGAAGCAAATTCGTATGTTATTTTCCCCAGTATCCTTACAGCTACTCCAATGCCTCCTCCAAAAATTAAGTTCTACGGAATTCCACGAGACTGACTCCCCTTCCACGTATGGGGATGCTCTGCTTTAACCAAACAGCTAGCTAGAGCAGAGATCCGGCCACTTAAGTCACCAGGCGAGCCGCTCAAAATTGCCCATCTTTTATTGATTTGCAAACTTCGAAAGTGCTTTTTTTTAAAAAGTGGAAGGTGGAAAAAGAAAGAGAAGAGTCACACAGAGGAGTGCACAGCCGATTTGGGTCTTAATCCGCCCCCCCCTCTCTCCCGTAACAACCGGCCCAAAAGGCAAGGAGTGGAGAAAGTGAGAGACGCAGCACGAAAAAAAAAAAACCCGCAGGTAGAAGCGCGCCCCATTTCGAAGGGAGAGGAAGTCGTCTGGAGCGCGGCTGGAGGTGTAAGGGGGGGGGGAAGCGGGAGGGAGGAGTTGATGGACGGTTGCTGTAGAAACCCCGGATCCTCCGCCCCGCCGTGTGAACCGGCCAATCCGGGCCCGGCAGTTGCCTTGTGCCTTTAGGAATACTGTATGTGTAGCCTTTGGTGGAGAGGCGCTTCGGTGGAGTCACGTTAGGAGAAAGGGGGAGGGGGAGGAGGAAGAAGGAGAAAAGTGGGAGGG